TGATCTCCAGCCTTTTCCTCGTCAACACTCTCACCTACTATTCAGCTTCAGCACCCATACAGTTATTTAGTCTATAGGTCTACTATTCAGCTTTAGCACCCAGACAGTTATTTAGTCTATAGGTCTACTATTCAGCTTCAGCACCCCAGACAGTTATTTAGTCTATAGGTCTACTATTCAGCTTCAGCACCCAGACAGTTATTTAGTCTGTAGGTCTACTATTCAGCTTCAGCACCCAGACAGTTATTTAGTCTGTAGGTCTACTATTCAGCTTCAGCACCCAGACAGTTATTTAGTCTACAGGTCTACTATTCAGCTTCAGCACCCAGAGAGTTATTTAGTCTGTAGGTCTACTATTCAGCTTCAGCACCCAGACAGTTATTTAGTCTATAGGTCTACTATTCAGCTTCAGCACCCAGACAGTTTTTTAGTCTATAGGTCTACTATTCAGCTTCAGCACCCAGAGAGTTATTTAGTCTATATGTCTACTATTCAGCTTCAGCACCCAGACAGTTATTTAGTCTATAGGTCTACTATTCAGCTTCAGCACCCAGACAGTTATTTAGTCTATAGGTCTACTATTCAGCTTCAGCACCCAGAGAGTTTATTTAGTCTATATGTCTACTATTCAGCTTCAGCACCCAGACAGTTATTTAGTCTATAGGTCTACTATTCAGCTTCAGCACCCAGACAGTTATTTAGTCTATAGGTCTACTATTCAGCTTCAGCACCCAGACAGTTATTTAGTCTATAGGTCTACTATTCAGCTTCAGCACCCAGACATTTATTTAGTCTGTAGGTCTACTATTCAGCTTCAGCACCCAGACAGTTATTTAGTCTATAGGTCTACTATTCAGCTTCAGCACCCAGACAGTTGTTTAGTCTATAGGTCTACTATTCAGCTTCAGCACCCATACAGTTATTTAGTCTGTAGGTCTACTATTCAGCTTCAGCACCCAGACAGTTATTTAGTCTACAGGTCTACTATTCAGCTTCAGCACCCAGACAGTTATTTAGTCTATATGTCTACTATTCAGCTTCAGCACCCATACAGTTATTTAGTCTGTAGGTCTACTATTCAGCTTCAGCACCCAGACAGTTATTTAGTCTATATGTCTACTATTCAGCTTCAGCACCCAGACAGTTATTTAGTCTACAGGTCTACTATTCAGCTTCAGCACCCAGACAGTTATTTAGTCTATATGTCTACTATTCAGCTTCAGCACCACACCCAGACAGTTATTTAGTCTATAGGTCTACTATTCAGCTTCAGCACCCAGACAGTTATTTAGTCTATAGGTCTACTATTCAGCTTCAGCACCCAGACAGTTATTTAGTCTATATGTCTACTATTCAGCTTCAGCACCCAGACAGATATTTAGTCTGTAGGCCTACTATTCAGCTTCAGCACCCAGACAGTTATTTAGTCTATAGGTCTACTATTCAGCTTCAGCACCACGCCCAAACAGTTATTTTGTCTATAGGTCTACTATTCAGCTTCAACACCCAGAGAGTTATTTAGTCTATAGGTCTACTATTCAGCTTCAGCACCCAGACAGTTATTTAGTCTGTAGGTCTAATATTCATCTTCAGCACCCAGACAGATATTTAGTCTGTAGGCCTACTATTCAGCTTCAGCACCCAGACAGTTATTTAGTCTACAGGTCTACTATTCAGCTTCAGCAACCAGACAGTTGTTTAGTCTATAGGTCTACTATTCAGCTTCAGCACCCAGACAGTTATTTAGTCTGTAGGTCTACAATTCAGCTTCTGCACCCAGACAGTTATTTAGTCTGTAGGTCTACTATTCAGCTTCAGCACCCAGACAGTTATTTAGTCTGTAGGTCTACAATTCAGCTTCAGCACCCAGACAGTTATTTAGTCTGTAGGTCTACTATTCAGCTTCAGCACCCAGACAGTTATTTAGGCTGTAGGTCTACTATTCAGCTTCAGCAGAATCCAGACAGTTATTTAGTCTATAGGTCTACTATTCAGCTTCAGCACCCAGACAGATATTTAGTCTATAGCTCTACTATTCAGGGAGTTGCACCCCTTCTCAGAAAACCTACACTCGATCCCTCCGATGTCAACAACTACAGACCAGTATCCCTTCTTTCTTTTCTCTCCAAAACTCTTGAGCGTGCCGTCTTTAGCCAACTCTCTTGCTATCTCTCTCAGAATGACCTTCTTGATCCAAACCAGTCAGGTTTCAAGACTGGTCATTCAACTGAGACTGCTCTTCTCTGTGTCACGGAGGCTCTCCGCACTGCTAAAGCTAACTCTCTCTCCTCTGCTCTTGTCCTTCTAGACCTGTCTGCTGCCTTTGATACTGTGAACCATCAGATCCTCCTCTCCACCCTCTCCGAGCTGGGCATCTCCGGCACGGCTCACTCTTGGATTGCGTCCTACCTGACCGGTCGCTCCTACCAAGTGGCGTGGCGAGAAGCTGTCTCCGCACCACGTGCTCTCACCACTGGTGTCCCCCAGGGCTCAGTTCTAGGCCCTCTCCTATTCTCGCTATACACCAAGTCACTTGGCTCTGTCATATCCTCACATGGCCTCTGCTATCATTGCTACGCAGACGACACACAACTAATCTTCTCCTTTCCCCCTTCTGATAACCAGGTGGCGAATCGCATCTCTGCATGTCTGGCAGACATATCAGTGTGGATGACGGATCACCACCTCAAGCTGAACCTTGGCAAGACGGAGCTGCTCTTCCTCCCGGGGAAGGACTGCCCGTTCCATGATCTCGCCATCACGGTTGACAACTCTGTTGTGTCCTCCTCCCAGAGTGTGAAGAGCCTTGGCGTGACCCTGGACAACACCCTGTCTTTCTCCGCTAACATCAAGGCGGTGACCTGATCCTGTAGGTTCATGCTCTACAACATTCGGAGAGTACGACCCTGTCTTACAGAGGAAGCGGCACAGGTCCTAATCCAGGCACTTGTCATCTCCCGTCTGGATTACTGCAACTCGCTGTTGGCTGGGCTCCCTGCCTGTGCCATTAAACCCCTACAACTCATCCAGAATGCCGCAGCCCGTCTGGTGTTCAACCTTCCCAAGTTCTCTCACGTCACCCCGCTCCTCCGCACACTCCACTGGCTTCCAGTTGAAGCTCGCATCTGCTACAAGACCATGGTGCTTGCCTACGAAGCTGTGAGGGGAACGGCACCTCCATACCTTCAGGCTCTGATCAGTCCCTACACCCAAACGAGGACATTGCGTTCATCCACCTCTGGCCTGCTGGCCCCCCTACCTCTGCAGAAGCACAGTTCCCGCTCAGCCCAGTCAAAACGGTTCGCTGCTCTGGCACCCCAATGGTGGAACAAGCTCCCTCACGACGCCAGGACAGCGGAGTCACTCACCACCTTCCGGAGACACTTGAAACCCCACCTCTTTAAGGAATACCTGGGATAGGATAAAGTAATCCTTCTACCCCCCCCTTACCCCACCCCACAAAAAAATAATAAAATAAAAAAACATTGTAAAGTGGTTATCCCACTGGCTTGAGGTGAATGCACCAATTTGTAAGTCGCTCTGGATAAGAGCGTCTGCTAAATGATGTAAATGTAAATGTAAAAATTCAGCTTCAGCACCCAGACAGTTATTCAGTCTATAGGTCTACTATTCAGCTTCAGCACCACACCCAGACAGTTATTTAGTCTATAGGTCTACTATTCAGCTTCACCACCCAGACAGTTATTTAGTCTGTAGGTCTACTATTCAGCTTCAGCACCCAGACAGTTATTTAGTCTATAGGTCTACTATTCAGCTTCAGCACCCAGACAGTTATTTAGTCTATAGGTCTATTATTCAGCTTCAGCACCCAGACAGTTATTTAGTCTGTAGGTCTACTATTCAGCTTCAGCACCCAGATAGTTATTTAGTCTGTAGGTCTACTATTCAGCTTCAGCACCCAGATAGTTATTTAGTCTGTAAGTCTACAATTCAGCTTCAGCACCCAGACAGTTATTTAGTCTGTAGGTCTACAATTCAGCTTCAGCACCCAGACAGTTATTTAGTCTGTAGGTCTACTATTCAGCTTCAGCACCCAAACAGTTATTTTGTCTGTAGGTCTACTATTCAGCTTCAGCACCACACCCAGACAGTTATTTAGTCTATAGGTCTACTATTCAGCTTCAGCACCCAGACAGTTATTTAGTCTATATGTATATTATTCAGCTTCAGCACCCAGAGAGTTATTTAGTCTGTAGGTCTACTATTCAGCTTCAGCACCCAGACAGTTATTTAGTCTGTAGGTATACTATTCAGCTTCAGCACCCAAACAGTTATTTAGTCTATAGGTCTACTATTCAGCTTCAGCACCCAGACAGTTATTTAGTCTGTAGGTCTACTATTCAGCTTCAGCACCCAGACAGTTATTTAGTCTATAGGTCTACTATTCAGCTTCAGCACCCAGACAGTTATTTAGTCTGTAGGTCTACTATTCAGCTTCAGCACCCAAACAGTTATTTAGTTGAGCATTTTGCATCTGTCTATGTCAGCTGTCAGCTCACCATCTGGATAAGGGGGGGTGAGCTTGCATTGACCTATCCAACCATACATACAATCTTAGTTTACACTCAAAGGGAGGAGACGCATATTTTCCGACGGGCCACTTGGTTTTGTCTAGAAACTGTACTTTTCGTAGCAGGTTTATGAGAATTTACGCAGCAGGTTAGGATAATTAACGTAGAAGATTGGGAGAATTATGTTAAGATTAGGAAAAGGGTTAGGGTTAGATAAAATAAAAGCATATTTTGATGTCAATTAGACAAAAGCTGCAATTATGCAGCATTCATAACAACTGGGAACGAGGTCACATCATGACGTCAGTGATCTTCAGGTCGGAAAGTCGGAGCTCTAGAAAGAGGCCCGAGTTACCGAGTTGGATTACATTTCAAAACCATTTTTCCCAGTCGAAGCTCGTTTTTTTCCGAGTTCCCAGTGGTTTTGAACGCGGCACTAGATATGACCGGGCCTCATGCTGCTGATTACTACGTCATCCACCGGCGACAGATGCTTCTGCGCGACATTTGTTTACACGATGGCGTCGGTGGATTTGAGAGGTAGCGAAGTGTTCCTTTCATTAATTGAAAAGTTATGTATTCTGTATTTTAAATGGAATAAATAGTAAGGAACACTAATGTAACTCGCTTACGGTTTCTGAGAATTAAAATAAATTGATGACGCTTTCAGGAACATAATTAGCTTGACAGCACAAAGCTAGCTAGTTTAGCTAACGCGTTAGCAAGACAGCTAACGATCTGTTTACCTTGTAGTCAAACTATTTTTATTTTTATTTAACCTTTATTTAACTAGGCAAGTAAGTTAAGAACAAATTCTTATTTACAATGACGGCCAAACCCGGACGACGCTGGGCCAATTGGATAAGAGCGTCTGCTAAATGATGTAAATGTAAATTGTGCGCCGCCCTATGGGACTCCCAATCACGTCCGGTTGTGATACAGCCTGGAATCGAACCAGGGTCTGTAGTGACGCCTCAAGCACTGAGATGCTGTGCCTTAGACCGCTGCGCCACTCGGGAGCAAACTAGTCAGCAAGTCTTTATCAAAAACAAATATGCACGTTATACCTACATGTTTACCCCAATTCTTGTAATAAAACGAGTAACTCCATTCGTTACCTGCTGCTCCTTCTAGACAACAACCTCCTGGGGATATCGTGGGTTGACAGTGGCTGGGTGCCTATCCTCAACCCTGGCAATGTGCTGGACTATTTCTCTGAGAGGAGTAATCCGTTCTACGACCGCACCTGTAACAACGAGGTGGTGAAGATGCAGCGGCTCACTCTGGAACATCTCAAGTAAGAGTTTCTTCTGTTATTGGCTTTGAATATTGCTGACATACTGACTATGAGCTGTTTTCCTGTGTAGGGGTCTTACTTTAAAATAGTGATTTTATTAGGCCTGCATATTACTCCTTACATCTATTACAGTAACACTGCCCCTGACACAGGTGAAGCCGACTAGTCCCGTTGACAGTGTCCATGACACAGATGAAGCCGACTAGTCCCGTTGACTGTGTCCATGACACAGATGAAGCCGACTAGTCCCGTTGACAGTGTCCATGACACAGATGAAGCCGACTAGTCCCGTTGACAGTGTCCATGACACAGGTGAAGCCGACTAGTCCCGTTGACAGTGTCCATGACACAGGTGAAGCCGACTAGTCCCGTTGACAGTGTCCATGACACAGATGAAGCCGACTAGTCCCGTTGACAGTGTCCATGACACAGATGAAGCCGACTAGTCCCGTTGACAGTGTCCATGACACAGATGAAGCCGACTAGTCCCGTTGACAGTGTCCATGACACAGGTGAAGCCGACTAGTCCCGTTGACAGTGTCCATGACACAGATGAAGCCGACTAGTCCCGTTGACAGTGTCCATGACACAGATGAAGCCGACTAGTCCCGTTGACAGTGTCCATGACACAGATGAAGCCGACTAGTCCCGTTGACAGTGTCCATGACACAGGTGAAGCCGACTAGTCCCGTTGACAGTGTCCATGACACAGGTGAAGCCGACTAGTCCCGTTGACAGTGTCCATGACACAGGTGAAGCCGACTAGTCCCGTTGACAGTGTCCATGACACAGATGAAGCCGACTAGTCCCGTTGACAGTGTCCATGACACAGATGAAGCCGACTAGTCCCGTTGACAGTGTCCATGACACAGATGAAGCCGACTAGTCCCGTTGACAGTGTCCATGACACAGGTGAAGCCGACTAGTCCCGTTGACAGTGTCCATGACACAGGTGAAGCCGACTAGTCCCGTTGACAGTGTCCATGACACAGGTGAAGCCGACTAGTCCCGTTGACAGTGTCCATGACACAGATGAAGCCGACTAGTCCCGTTGACAGTGTCCATGACACAGGTGAAGCCGACTAGTCCCGTTGACAGTGTCCATGACACAGATGAAGCCGACTAGTCCCGTTGACAGTGTCCATGACACAGATGAAGCCGACTAGTCCCGTTGACAGTGTCCATGACACAGATGAAGCCGACTAGTCCCGTTGACAGTGTCCATGACACAGGTGAAGCCGACTAGTCCCGTTGACAGTGTCCATGACACAGATGAAGCCGACTAGTCCCGTTGACAGTGTCCATGACACAGATGAAGCCGACTAGTCCCGTTGACAGTGTCCATGACACAGATGAAGCCGACTAGTCCCGTTGACAGTGTCCATGACACAGGTGAAGCCGACTAGTCCCGTTGACAGTGTCCATGACACAGATGAAGCCGACTAGTCCCGTTGACAGTGTCCATGACACAGGTGAAGCCGACTAGTCCCGTTGACAGTGTCCATGACACAGATGAAGCCGACTAGTCCCGTTGACAGTGTCCATGACACAGATGAAGCCGACTAGTCCCGTTGACAGTGTCCATGACACAGATGAAGCCGACTAGTCCCGTTGACAGTGTCCATGACACAGATGAAGCCGACTAGTCCCGTTGACAGTGTCCATGACACAGGTGAAGCCGACTAGTCCCGTTGACAGTGTCCATGACACAGGTGAAGCCGACTAGTCCCGTTGACAGTGTCCATGACACAGGTGAAGCCGACTAGTCCCGTTGACAGTGTCCATGACACAGGTGAAGCCGACTAGTCCCGTTGACAGTGTCCATGACACAGGTGAAGCCGACTAGTCCCGTTGACAGTGTCCATGACACAGATGAAGCCGACTAGTCCCGTTGACAGTGTCCATGACACAGGTGAAGCCGACTAGTCCCGTTGACAGTGTCCATTGAAAGTGCTTCTTAGTCCAGGACTAGGCGTAACCTGTGTCAGCAAAACCGTCCGTCCAGCCCATGGATCAATTTCTGTGAGTGTAATAATAATAATGTAGTTACTAGCCTAACTGACATACAATTGTGTCTATTTCAGTCAGATGGTTGGAGTGGAGTACATTCTCCTTCATGCCCAGGAGCCCATCCTCTACATCATTAGGAAACAACAGAGACAGTCTCCTACTCAGGGTGATCCACAGAGAACACACACACACACACACACCACAGACGTCTGACACACACATACTCAAAAGAAAACACCTCTGTCAATACCCCCTTGGAAAGTTTACGTCATCTTCCCATGTCCTTTATACCAGGCTCTAATTCTATATCCTGTACTCTATATTGTGTGCTTCCTCTTCCCAGTCATACCTTTATCTGACTACTACATCATAGCTGGGGTGGTGTATCAGGCTCCTGATCTGGGAACAGTCATTGGATCCAGAGTGGTAAGAGAGTGTCAACCCCCTGGCATTGTCATTACTACGTTATAGTGTTATTACTATGTAATTACTATGTTGTTATTACACTGTTGTCAATACTATGCAATAGTGTTATAACTATGTTGTTATTACTATGTTATTACTATGTTGTTATTACACTGTTGTCAATACTATGCAATAGTGTTATAACTATGTTGTTATTACTATGTTATTACTATGTTGTTATTACACTGTTGTCATTACTATGTTGTCGTTGCTATGTTGTCGTTACTATGTTGTCGTTACTATGTTGTCATTACTATGTTGTCGTTGCTATGTTGTCGTTACTATGTTGTCGTTACTATGTTGTCGTTACTATGTTGTCATTACTATGTTGTCGTTTCTATGTTGTCGTTACTATGTTGTCGTTTCTATGTTGTCGTTTCTATGTTGTCGTTGCTATGTTGTCGTTGCTATGTTGTCGTTGCTATGTTGTCGTTACTATGTTGTCGTTTCTATGTTGTCGTTGCTATGTTGTCGTTACTATGTTGTCGTTATTATGTTGTCGTTACTATGTTGTCGTTACTATGTTGTCGTTACTATGTTGTCGTTGCTATGTTGTCGTTGCTATGTTGTCGTTGCTATGTTGTCGTTACTATGTTGTCGTTACTATGTTGTCGTTACTATGTTGTCGTTACTATGTTGTCGTTGCTATGTTGTCGTTACTATGTTGTCGTTACTATGTTGTCGTTGCTATGTTGTCGTTTCTATGTTGTCGTTACTATGTTGTCGTTACTATGTTGTCGTTTCTATGTTGTCGTTACTATGTTGTCGTTACTATGTTGTCGTTGCTATGTTGTCGTTGCTATGTTGTCGTTGCTATGTTGTCGTTACTATGTTGTCGTTACTATGTTGTCGTTACTATGTTGTCGTTACTATGTTGTCGTTTCTATGTTGTCGTTACTATGTTGTCGTTACTATGTTGTCGTTACTATGTTGTCGTTGCTATGTTGTCGTTGCTATGTTGTCGTTTCTATGTTGTCGTTGCTATGTTGTCGTTGCTATGTTGTCGTTGCTATGCTGTTATTGCTATGTTGTTAGCACTTTGGGTTTTAGAAAAGTGTGGAATTATCTTGGTTGATGTTGGGATCAAATCTATTGAAATTCCAGTCAATTTAGAAAGTAAACCAAATTTAAAAAGCATTGAAGAGAATTGGAATTTCAGTATACTTCCTGAATTGACAGGAATTGTCCTCAACCCTGGTTGACATGTGAGTTGATGGGGTGCTGTCGTCATGTATTGACTGCTGTTATTTTCCCCTGTCTCCCCACAGCTGTCTGCTGTACATGGTGTCCAGTCTGCCTTCGATGAGGCCATGTCATACTGTCGCTATCACCCATCTAAAGGATACTGGTGGCACTTCAAAGACCAGGAGGAGAGAGGTATGTTAACCAGTGTTGGGGTCAATTCCATGTCAATTCTAGTCCATTCAGGAAGTACACTGAAATTCCAATTCTCTTCAATGATTTTCAATGAGGAAAATGTGGAATTGGAATTTGGTTAACACTAACCCTGGGGTGTGGTTGTTTTACAGCTACAGTGAGGGGAAAAAAGTATTTGATCCCCTTCTGATTTTGTACGTTTTCCCACTGACAAAGACATGATCAGTCTATAATTTTAATGGTAGGTTTATTTGAACAGTGAGAGACAGAATAACAACCCAAAAATCCAGAAATACGCATGTCAAAAATGTTATAAATTGATTTGCATTTTAATGAGGGAAATAAGTATTTGACCCCTCTGCAAAACATGACTTAGTACTTGGTGGCAAAACCCTTGTTGGCAATCACAGAGGTCAGACGTTTCTTGTAGTTGGCCACCAGGTTTGCACACATCTCAGGAGGGATTTTGTCCCACTCCTCTTTGCAGATCTTCTCCAAGTCATTAAGGTTTCGAGGCTGACGTTTGGCAACTCGAACCTTCAGCTCCCTCCACAGATTTTCTATGGGATTAAGGTCTGGAGACTGGCTAGGCCACTCCAGGACCTTAATGTGCTTCTTCTTGAGCCACTCCTTTGTTGCCTTGGCCGTGTGTTTCGGGTCATTGTCATGCTGGAATATCCATCCACGACCCATTTTCAATGCCCTGGCTGAGGGAAGGAGGTTCTCACCCAAGATTTGACGGTACATGGCCCCGTCCATCGTCCCTTTGATGCGGTGAAGTTGTCCTGTCCCCTTAGCAGAAAAACACCCCCAAAGGATAATGTTTCCACCTCCATGTTTGACGGTGGGGATGGTGTTCTTGGGGTCATAGGCAGCATTCCTCCTCCTCCAAACACGGCGAGTTGAGTTGATGCCAAAGAGCTCGATTTTGGTCTCATCTGACCACAACACTTTCACCCAGTTCTCCTCTGAATCATTCAGATGTTCATTGGCAAACGTCAGACGGGCCTGTATATGTGCTTTCTTGAGCAGGGAGACCTTGCGGGCGCTGCAGGATTTCAGTCCTTCACGGCGTAGTGTGTTACCAATTGTTTTCTTGGTGACTATGGTCCCAGCTGCCTTGAGATCATTGACAAGATCCTCCCGTGTAGTTCTGAGCTGATTCCTCACATTTCTCATGATCATTGGAACTCCACGAGGTGAGATCTTGCATGGAGCCCCAGGCCGACGGAGATTGACAGGTCTTTTGGGTTTCTTCCATTTGCGAATAATCGCACCAACTGTTGTCACCTTCTCACCAAGCTGCTTGGCGATGGTCTTGTAGCCCATTCCAGCCTTGTGTACGTCTACAATCTTGTCCCTGACATCCTTGGAGAGCTCTTTGGTCTTGGCCATGGTGGAGAGTTTGGAATCTGATTGATTGATTGCTTCTGTGGACAGGTGTCTTTTATACAGGTAACAAGCTGAGATTAGGAGCACTCCCTTTAAGAGTGTGCTCCTAATCTCAGCTCGTTACCTGTATAAAAGACACCTGGGAGCCAGAAATCTTTCTGATTGAGAGGGGGTCAAATACTTATTTCCCTCATTAAAATGCAAATCAATTTATAACACTTTTGACATGTGTTTTTCTGGATGTTTTTGTTGTTATTCTGTCTCTCACTGTTCAAATAAACCTACCATTAAAATTATAGACTGATAATTTCTTTGTCAGTGGGCAAACGTACAAAAATCAAATACTTTTTTCCCTCACTGTATTGTTTTACAGGGGTGTTTATTGGTACATTGGTTTTCATTACGAACAATAAATTATTATTTTATAGCCTAATGTGTGATACATATTAAGCATGTTTCACTAAACCTGGACTAAGGCAGATATTGTTTTCCCATCCCATGACCTTGATAATACATGTACTGTATCTAATGTGTTTCAACCATTCTCCTCATCAATGGTATTCTGCAACAAGATGGCGCCGACAGACTTGGCACCTCTGATTCTTGCTTCTAAGCAACTTTCCTATTCTAGTCAATGCCATCTTATTCAACTATTGCTGTATATATACTAATCTATCCTACGTATTCTACAGATATACTACATATTCTATCCACATACTGTCTATAATGTGTCTACACCCCATCACATATATATATATAGGCTCTGTCGCGGCCGGCCGCGACCGGGAGACTCATGGGCGGCGCACAATTGGCCCAGCGTCGTCCAGGGTAGGGGAGGGAATGGCCGGCAGGGATGTAGCTCAGTTGATAGAGCATGGCGTTTGCAACGCCAGGGTTGTGGGTTCGTTTCCCACGGGGGGCCAGTATAAAAAAGATATATATGTATTCACTAACTGTAAGTCGCTCTGGATAAGAGCGTCTGCTAAATGACTAAAATGTAAATGTAATATATATATATATATATATATATACAGTGCCTTGCAAAAGTATTCAACCCCCTTGGTATTTTTCCTATTTTGCTGCATTACAACCTGTAATTTAAATGGATTTTTATTTGGATTTCATGTAATGGACATACACAAAATAGTCCAAATTGGTGAAGTGAAATTTAAAAAAATAACTTGTTTCAGAAAATTCTAACAAATAAATAACCGAAAAGTGTTGCGTGCATATGTATTCACCCCCTTTGCTATGAAGCCCCTAAATAAGATCTGGTGCAACCAATTAACTTCAGAAGTCACATAATTAGTTAAATAAAGTCCACCTGTGTGCAATCTAAGAGTCACATGATCTGTCACATGACCTCAGTATATATACACCTGTTCTGAAAGGCCCCAGAGTCTGCAACACCACTAAGCAAGGAGCACCACCAAGCAAGCGGCACCATGAAGACCAAGAAGCTCTCCAAACAGAGCAGGGACAAAGTTGTGGAGAAGTACAGATCAGGGTTGGGTTATAAAAAAAATATCTGAAACTTTGAACATCCCACGGAGCACCATTAAATCCATTATTAAAAAATGGAAAGAATATGGCACCACAACAAACCTGCCAAGAGAGGGCCGCCCACCAAAACTCACGGGTCAGGCAAGGCGGGCATTAATCAGAGAGGCAACAAAGAGACCAAAGATAACCCTGAAGGAGCTGCAAAGCTCCACAGCGGAGATTGGAGTATCTGTCCATATGACCACTTCAAGCCGTACACTCCACAGAGCTGGGCTTTACAGAAGAGTGGCCAGAAAAAAGCCATTGCTTAAAGAAAAAAATAAGCAAACACGTTTGGTGTTCGCCAAAAGGCATGTGGGAGACTCCCCAAATATATGTAAGAAGGTACTCTGGTCAGATGAGACTAAAATTGAGCTTTTTGACCATCAGGGAAAACGCTATGTCTGGCGCAAATCCAACACCTCTCATCACCCCGAGAACACCATCCCCACAGTGAAGCATGGTGGTGGCAGCATCATGCTGTGGGGATGTTTTTCATCGGCAGGGACTGGGAAACTGGTCAGAATTGAAGGAATGATGAATGGCGCTAAATACAGGGAAATTCTTGAGGGGAAACCTGTTTCAGTCTTCCAGAGATCTCAGACTGGGACGGAGGTTCACCTTCCAGCAGGACAATGACCCTAAGCATACTGCTAAAGCAACACTCGAGTGGTTTAAGGGGAAACATTTAAATGTCTTGGGATGGCCTAGTCAAAGCCCAGACCGCAATCCAATTGAGAATCTGTGGAATTACTTAAAGATTGCTGTACACCAGCGGAACCCATCCAACTTGAAAGAGCTGGAGCAGTTTTGCCTTGAAGAATGGGCAAAAATCCCAGTGGCTAGATGTGCCAAGCTTATAGAGACATACCCCAAGAGACTTGCAGCTGTAATTGCTGCAAAAGGTGGCTCTACAAAGTATTGACTTTGGGGGGGTGAATAGTTATGCACGCTCAAGTTTTCAGTTTTTTTTTTCTTATTTCTTGTTTGTTTCACCCAAAAAAATATTTTGCATCTTCAAAGTGGTAGGCATGTTGTGTAAATCAAATGATGCAACCCCCCCCCCCCCCCCCCCCCCAAAAAAAATAAATAAATCTATTTTAATTCCAAGTTGTAAGGCAACAAAATAGGAAAAATGCCACGGGGGGGCTGTAGCCACTGTATTTGTACTCTGGACTCCGACATTGCTCGTTCTAATATTTATATATTTCTTAATTCCATTGTTTTACTTTTAGATCAGTGTGTATTGTTGTGAATTGTTAAGATATTACTGCACTGCTGGAGCTCGGGAACACAAGCATTTCACTACACCCGCAATAACATCTACTAAATATGTGTGTGCGACCAATAAAATTAGATTTTTGATTTGATGTCTATAGATGCCAAAGCCAAGCCAAAGTCCAAGAAGAAAGAGGAACCCAGTTCCCTGTTCCAAAGACAGCGTGTGGACACACTTCTACTCGATTTGAGGTCCAAGTTTCCTCCAACGTATTACCAGGTATGACACACCTGTCAGTTAGTCATAATCAGCCAATATACATTATACCGATTTAATTGTAACATTGTATTATTGAGGTTCGCATTTGGTAATCTATATTCTGTTGTAATTCTTTCCTAAAATTTTGCCACAATTTTAGCCTAAGCCTGGTGAGAAGCCAATCCCAGGTAAGATTGTTACAGCTAATATTGCAGAACCATTTGCTATTCTTTTGCGATAGGTTTTAGACATTTAACACCAACCAAATGTTGATGAACATTACTATTGGAAAAGGTTAGGTCATGTTTAAAAAAAAAAACTCTGGACATTTTGTAATCTTTTCTCTGGTCATGGAGTCTTGTTTTTTCACCCTGTGTTCTGTTTTCATTTGACTGTCTAATCTACTGTATCTATTCTAATCTACTGTATCTGTTCTAATCTACTGTATCTGTTCTAATCTACTGTATCTAATCTAATCTACTGTATCTGTTCTAATCTACTGTATCTGTTCTAATCTACTGTATCTGTTCTAATCTACTGTATCTGTTCTAATCTACTGTATCTAATCTAATCTACTGTATCTGTTCTAATCTACTGTATCTGTTCTAATCTACTGTATCTGTTCTAATCTACTGTATCTGTTCTAATCTACTGTATCTATTCTAATCTACTGTATCTGTTCTAATCTACTGTATCTGTTCTAATCTACTGTATCTATTCTATTGTAGTGGAGGTGAAGAAGGAGTCTGAACCCCCAGCAGAGACGGTGAAGCAGGAAGAGAGAGAGAGAGAGCCAGCCACCAAGACTTCTGCTCCAGCTCCCCCCAGCAGCAAACCACCTCCGGAGAAACGGGCCAGGCTACAGTGATGACCGATGGCCACTCCTGTATATATTTCTGATAATGTCCATTCTTCGAAGAAGAAGAAGAAGAAAAAAAGCACACTGCTCTTGCCAGTATCACCTTTTTGTTAATTCAAGCTTATATGTCAGCCTCTTGGCCTTCGTCATTGATGTGTACATTCTCACATTGGCAAGGCACACAGAATGGACATACGGCACAGGTAGAACCCAATCTGACTGAACAATGCTAAGGAAGTTGTTTGTGTCTGATGGAAGGTGTGTGGAAATGGACCTCCATCCCAGACCAAACAGACCGTAACAACTCATGATCCTGTTTCTGAAGGGCTTGACAGTCAATTAACATGGAATGGCATTAGGAAAGGAAAATTAATAGTCCCAAATGGCACCCTATTCCCTATATAGCGCACTACTTTTGACCAGAGCCCTATAGGCCCTAGTCAAAAGTAGTGCACTATATAGGGAATAGGGTGCCAGGGCTCTGGTTAAAAGTAGTGCACTATATAGGGAATAGAGTGCCATTTGGTACATATCCATGAGCAGACGATGTGAGTAGCAGACCTCATGGGACATTCCATCCATGTTCTAGAACTGTGTAGTTACTGACATGTACACCTTTAGTATCGCCACAAGACTTCTCTCTGTGATGATGCTAGAGGTGAGAGGTCAAGACTCGAGTGGGTTTACAATTTGCAGTTTTTGAGGGTAACATCGAAACAGTGAGACCACCAGTAATCTCTATGCACTGTTGACATCTGCAGTATCTTACTCGGCACTGTGGGAGACATGTTTTTTGGCGTTATCTCTGAAGCATAAACACTCATCCACATTATATTTTTTTTCAATATGTAATTATGTTTTTTCCACGTCAAGTGATTCTGAATCCATGGTTTGTTTTCCTTGAAAAAAATGTCAATGCTTTTCTGAATATAATCATATTCAAACTCTACAGTGACTGAGTTTGAGTCATTATTCATCAAAACATGTATTTTAATGTGATTAAATGTATGTCATCTAATGTAGCCAGGTGTGGTCAAAATAGACTGTCTGCTTTGGACATCAGCAATGGGATCCTCCTGAGATATTGAAGAGCCCTGCAGTTGGACCAATCTCATTTGATGAGAGTCAAGGAGATTTTAGTGTCAGTCTAGATTATTTATTTGATGATGAATTAATATATTTGATTAGTAACTTGTAAAATCAGCAGCGGAAGTTATGCCACAACAGATATGGCACACCGAGATTTTATGATAACAGTACAGTACCACAAGAGGGCGCTATTTAGCTAGCGTAATATTATATGACCGTTTTCAAACTACCCTCACAGAGTTGTCTTTGCTACACTCTTTTTCCATTGTCCATTTAGGACGTGAAGAAGGATTAGTGCTAAACGGGATCCTTGGGATGTCCTTATCCTAAACTCTAACCTCTAACCATAACCCTTACCTTAACCAGTTTATATTTCAACTTCAATGGGTAGGGACCATTGCGTTGAGCTATATAATGTATGGACGTCCCAAGGCGACCAGATAGCACGGACAGAAGAAGAAGCAGCTCGCAGGGCGTGGCGGGATAGGAGACCACTCAGTGGAGGACCGAGTACAGTGCCTCAGCTGGCGAGCTGCAGAGAAGATGGCTGCAGTGTGGATTTTCAGGCCAATGTCTGAAAACACTGCACTGTTGGTCATGTTTCACGACGGCTAGCCTTCGTGTCGCCCCGTTTATTTAGTCGTTTTTTTTCAAGGAATCGAAGGGGATAAAACATGGGGTCTCAAACTCTACAGATCCTCAGGCAGGGTGTCTGGGCTTCAATCACAGGCGGATGGTACTATGATCCCCATCAAAATACATTTGTCAATGCTCTACACCTCTACCTCTGGCTGTTCCTACTATGTTTCCCCTTCACGCTTTACATGGTAAGTGTGTTTAAGCTTTGATAAGGTTACTTACTGTCTTTTTTATGGAACATTTATATCCTCCAATCTCAACAAAGCAAGTCAAGATCTGGTTTACCGTTGGAGGATCTTCCCTGGCTGTAATCATGCTAGCCAAACCGCGGATGCTAATGCTAACCAGCTAACAGTTGCTAGTAAGGGTAGCCAAGTAGCTATTTAGTTACGTAGTTAACGTTACCTATATAACTAGCTAGGTTGCTAGGCATCCTTTGTTTGAAATCTGCATATTTCCCTCGAATAAACGAAATAAATACCAGTTGACGTGTAACTTATAGCTAACAGATTGTAGCTGTTCATCATTGTTTTCATTTTCACCGTTATGTTTTGTTGTCAGGTGTGACACTTTTCTTTCGGTAACACTCGTTGTTAGATAGTTAAATGACTCAGTTACATTGTCCATAAATATCAGATTTAGGGAAATACTTTAATCCCGACCAGGTTTGGTTAACCAATCCCCCGGGCAACAAGTCGTGGCTCGACTAGATAGTTAACGTAATATCTGTCTTCCATTAATGAACGTTAGCAGGCTAGCTACCTCCTCTCTCTCCCCCCCTCCCCCCAAGCCACATTGACAGCAATCTAATCTATCTCAGTCTATTATTAGCTAACAATGTATGTCTTGTCTCTCGTATACTGGTGTCAAGATCTACCAGCTATTCAAGCTGACCCAGCTTGTCAGCAAGCCAGCACAAAAACAGACTTCTAGGAAATGTTGTCATTCAAATAAAAATAAAATAAACGATATTTTGGAATGGCTGGAGAGTAGGATTAATAAAAAATATTCCTGCCCCTCCCCCTCATAACATGTTACTGTAAACGCTATCTGCACAACCAAATGTAAATTAGTGAACTTTCAAACAGCATTTTATATGTACTCCACTTTCAACTTTTCAGTTGTTAACAATTTAAATTTTACTCAGTCCAGTTGCTTGGTGTTGTGTAATTAGGCCAATTCTGTGATTGATTAGCAGTGGTTTTGCTTTGATTTAAGTCAGGATATGTGACAGGGAGGGTATAAATAGTGTGATTCTCTGAATGCGTCATGGCAGAGAGAGTGAGTGATTCTCTGAATGCTCCATGGCAGCACTAAACAAACAACAACACGAATAGTTACTTCTCCAATCTTTTTGGCCCTATAACAAAGAACAAACAGCAAAAACATATACATGATCAAATACAAATAATATAATTAACTATTAAAGACTACCAGTACCCACTGGATTCTCCAATTACATTGAATGAACTACAGGACAAAATACAAACCCTCCAACCCAAAAAGGCCTGTGGTGTTGATGGTATCCTCAATGAAATGATCAAATATACAGACCACAAATTCCAATTGGCTATACTTAAACTCTTTAACATCATACTTAGCGCTGGCATCTTCCCCAATATTTGGAACCAAGGACTGATCACCCCAATCCACAAAAGTGGAGACAAATTTGACCCCAATAACTTCCGTGGGATATGCGTCAACAGCAACCTTTGGATAATCCTCTGTATTATCATTAACAGCAGACTCGTACATTTCCTCAGTGAAAACAATGTACTGAGCAAATGTCAAATTGGCTTTTTACCAAATTACCGTACGACAGACCACGTATTCACCCTGCACACCCTAATTGACAAACAAACAAACAAACCAAAACAAAGGCTAAGTGTTCTCATGCTTTGTTGATAAAAAAAAAAATGGCAAGAAACACACATTTCTTTCCACAGGGCCGTGGGGTGAGACAGGGATGCAGCTTAAGCCCCACCCTCTTCAACATATATATCAACTAATTGGCGAGGGCACTAGAACAGTCTGCAGCACCCGGCCTCACCCTACTAGAATCTGAAGTCAAATGTCTACTGTTTGCTGAGGATCTGGTGCTTCTGTCCCCAACCAAGGATGGCCTACAGCAGCACCTAGATCTTCTGCACAGATTCTATCAGACCTGGGCCCTGACAGTAAATCTCAGTAAGACAAATATAATGGTTTTCCATAAAAGGTCCACCATTGCCCTAGAGCACACAAAAACCTATACATACCTCGGCCTAAACATCAGCGCCACCGGTAACTTCCCCAAAGCTGTGAACGATCTGAGAGACAAGGCAAGAAGGGCCTTCTATGCCATCAAAAGGAACATAACATTTTACGTACCAAATTTTACATACCAATTTAAGATCTGGTTAAAAATACTTGAATCAGTTATAGAACCCATTGCCCTTTATGGTTGTGAGGTCTGGGGTCCGCTCACAAACCAAGAATTTGCAAAATGGGACAAACACCAAATTGAGACTCTGCATGTAGAATTCAGCAAAAATATCCTCAGCGTACAACGTAAAACACCAAATAATGCATGCAGAGCAGAATTAGGCCAATACCCGCTAATTATCCAAATACAGAAAAGAGACGTTAAATTCTACAACCACCTAAAACATTTTACATTTTAGTCATTTAGCAGACGCTCTTATCCAGAGCGACTTAAAGTTAGTGAGTGCATACATTTCTTTTTTCATACTGGCCCCCCGTGGGAATCGAACCCACAACCCTGGCGTTGCAAACGCCATGCTCTACCAACTGAGCTACACGGGAAGGAAGCGATTCCCAAACCTTCCATAACAAAGCCATCACCTATAGAGAAATGAACCTGGAGAAGAGTCCCCAAAGCAAGCTGGTCCTTGGGCTCTGTTCACAAACAGAGCCCCAGGATAGCAACACAATTAGACCCAACCAAATCATGAGAAAACAAAAAGATAATTACTTGACACATTGGAAAGAATTAACAAAAAAACACTATTTGGCCCTAAACAGAGAGTACACAGTGGCAGAATACCTGACCACTGTGACTGACCCAAACTTAAGGAAAGCTTTGACTATGTACAGACTCAGTGAGCATAGCCTTGCTATTGAGAAAGGCCGCCGTAGGCAGACCTGGCTCTCAAGAGAAGACAGGCTATGTGCACACTGCCCACAAAATGAGGTGGAAACTGAGCTGCACTTCCTAACCTCCTGCCAAATGTATGACCATATTAGAGACACATATTTCCCTCAGATTACACAGATCCACAAAGAATTGGAAAACAAATCCAATTTTGATAAACTCCCATATCTATTGGGTGAAATACCACAGTGTGCCATCACAGCAGCAAGATTTGTGACCTGTTGCCACAAGAAAAGGGCAACCAGTGAAGAACAAACACCATTGTAAATACAACCCATATTTATGTCGATTTATTTTCTCTTTTGTACTTTAACTATTTGCACCTCGTTACAACACTGTATATAGACATAATATGACATTTGAAATGTCTTTATTCTTTTGGAACTTCTGAGTGTAATGTTTACTGTTAATATTTATTGTTTATTTCACTTTTTGTTTACTATCTACTTCACTTGCTTTTGGCAACGTTAACATACGTTTCCCATGCCAATAAAGCCCTTTAAATTGAGAGGGAGA